CACCTGGGAAAAAAAAAAGTAAAATCAAAAAGTCTAAGCTACAGTTCTCCTGTGTAAGGTTTATCGCCACTAAAGCTACTAAGAAACTTCCCTACTTAGGGGGTGCTTCATGTATTTTTGTTAAATTAAATATGCAGAATATTAAGCATGCCAGCATATATACACATACACATTTATGATATAATACTCTTTTGTTTGTCTTGGAACATGTTTTTCTTGTCATATTTAAGAATGAAAAGGATTAATGGCAGTGAATAACAAGAGTTTAATTCTATTTGGTAAGGGTAAGGTTAGCATGAGATGACCTTTTTTGGTCTTTTCATTTTTATCTGTTACTAGGTTAGTAAAAACACAACAAATTATCTAAGAGAAGAAATAAGGAATGATAACTGTATACTGCATCTCTCCATGGAAGTCTCCATTGATACATCACCCAGGGTAGCTGGCTGTCAAAGAGGCACCCAAGTACTGTGTATAAACACTCTTTATCTCTAAGTGTAAATATAGAAACCATACAGCAGTTTTTGCTGTGGGTGATTTCTTAGCCTTTTTAGTAATGCTTCTATAAGACAGCAGACTGCTGAGTGATAAGAGAGGGTTTGAAACATAAATTCCATACTAAATTATTGGCTGCTGTTCAAACTGTGTCTGCTTAGAGTACCCAGCAGCAAAGTATGTTCCAAACAAGATTCCAAATTTAAACAATACATTCTTCTGCCTTCTGTATGATCTATGAACTTGAGTTCACAAACCATTAGTATCCAAGAATTTTGTGTACAACAAAGATTAAAGTTTTAAACAAATAACTACATTTAAAGTGTGATGACAAAGCAATAATAGATTAAATTTATTGGAAAATCTATCAGACAACTATATATTGTATTAAGTCATTTAATCTTGAAACAACTCAATGAAGAAGTAGCATTATTATTCTCATTTTACCAATGAGGAATCTGAGGCACTGATTTGCCTTTCCTGAACATATCCTTGTTGTTATATCTTCAACTCAGATTTAAGAAAAGAAAATATTTTTATTAGCTTATATTTTTACTTTATAAATATATATTACAATAACAAGTATAAAACAAACTTACATGGCAGACTTTTATGTCATTTTTCTGAGCTGTTACCAATATTTTTCTCTTGAACTTTTATATTGAAGTAGATTTCAACCTAAGCTTGTCCCCCTTATCATGCTAGTACCTTTCTAAAATCCACAAGTTTAAAGACATAAAATTAAACAAATGAGTGAAAATGTGCATAAACTCTATAACATCCTAAATAGAAGACACCTGTCTCATGAAGAAATGTTCATCTGCCTAAAAAAGAAAAATGCAATTAGCACTATTTAGAATGTGTAATACTCTAAGTTTCACTTCTTTTTTTTATTTGTTTTAATTAGTTACACATGACAGTACAATGATCTTGACACTCTAAGTTTCACTTCTAAAAAATAAGTAAAAAATGTAACCATAGGGAAATTAATGCTTAATGAATATATTAAATGTTTCACAAATTCCATTGAAAAACTCCATAGTGATTCTTGCTGAATGCCCGTTTAGAAGAGTAAATTTAACCTCTTTGTTTTTCTTTTGGTAGACACAGAATAAATCACTTCAGAAAGCATAATTCATGCTTGATATCATGCAGCAAGACTGCAGTTCTCATGATTAAAGATAGTGCTGAGAAACGTCTCTTTTTAAAAATATTTTGGAATGGAAGAACAACACAGAAAAAGAATCATATATATTTAAATGTTTTAATGTTCAAGCCCAGATTCTAATCCTTAACTCACAAATAGAAGGATTTATGACTTAAAATCACTGTACCAAAGGTCACTATAAATAAAATCTGGCAGCGAAAAATGATAAAAGTATATTAGTTATAATATTTAGAGGTTTAGAAGTTCTGGTGCATACATAGAAGATAGATAGACAGATGTCCTTTCAATTAGATTTCTGAGAGATACAACATCATCTTCACAACTAGATACATGAGCATAGTTAAAATTGCTTGTAATTATAATTTTTCTTTGCATGCTAAAATCATGAGGGCTTTCCTGCAGAATTTTTTGAGTAAAAAGCTATTAACCAAATGTATAATCACTTTTCTTTCTTAATTTTATACTTATCCATACTTCTGATATACTCATCATCAGAAATCTAGAGCCACAAAAGTTAGCAGAACATCCGCAATGTTAATGGGACTGAGAAACTTCAAAGCCAATTGTATTAGTCAGCTTTGCATTGCTATAACCAAAATACCTGACAAGAACAACTTAAAGGAGTAAAATTTTATTTTGGGTTCCTGGTTTCAGAGGTTCAGTCTGCAGTGGGCAGACTCCATTGCTCTAGACCAGAGGTGGGGTAGAGCATCATAGCAGAAGAGCCTGGCAAGAGGAAAGTTGCTCATCTCACGGTGGCCAGAAAGCAGAGAGAGAAGAGACTGGAGCCAGGCGGACAACATACAATTCCTGAGGGCATAGCCTCAGAGATCTACTTCCTCCATCCACAGCTCTACCTTGCACACTATTCCTTTAAAAATATTAACCCATCATGTGGATTAACTCAGTGTTTAGGTTACAGCTCATAATCTAATTGCCTATCCATGAGCTTATTGGGGGACAACTCCTATCCAAACCATTAAACCAACTGATATTTAGTAACACCTTGTGTCTAAAAGACTTTATAAAATTGCCCTGGATTTAATGAGGCAAAACCTACTCCAAAGTACCCTAATTCTAACAGAGCACCAAACTGTCTAAACTAGAAGAAATCACTTCTAAAAGTTATGGCCCCGAAAAAAATCAGAGTGAAGGGTGGAAGACACTGATCTGGGTCTTCAGGAGTAGACAAAGTCTTCACAAGAACAGAGAGTAAATGCATTCCAAGCAAGGGGAATAACATGAGCAAAGGTGAAGCACTGAAATGTTCACTGGGTATGTGTTTGGATAATGGACCATAATCTGAAATACCTGAAGTAGATGGACCTCTTGCTGAGTAATGGGAAAGAGACTGGAAAAGTTAAGTAGGTGCCAGACGATGGAAGGCTTTCAAAATACCCAGCCTAGGTGTTTGGCAGCAACTAAGAGTCCCAGTAGATAACTGAAGAGTAGACAGACAAGCACAGTAATGCTTTAGTGAAATTAATCCCGTGATCATGGGCAAGATGATTTGGGTGGCAGTGGGGGATGGAAGGAGGGGGAGCAGTATTAAAATCAGGTGAAGGGTGAAGAGAATGGAACTTCTTATGGTAGGAGACAAGGCAATGTATGATGAAGGGGAAGGGGAGGGTTTCAAAATGGCACAGAAACATGTACTTGCATAAATAAGAGAACAGATCTGCATAGTCATGAAGAGTTTGATTGTTCACATAGTGGAGGAAATCACATGGTTTAATTTGAGCTCTTCTTGACTCTTAGGAGTAATCTTACAGCCATGAAGACAGTTAATGACACTCAAAACTCCACTTCATCAGCAAACGTGGCTTTCATTCAGGGCCAAATACTGTGCTCCATTATCTACAAACTGTCCCCCTGACTCCAAAAGAAATTACTTGTATAGAACTCATGGCAGATCTTGGCATTAGTAGGCATTTGGAAGCCAACAATGTGACCCTTCCTAGGATAAAAATCAGAATAACTTAAAGCATTTATTTCTGACTTTGCAAAACTCTTTCAAGACAAAGATTTTCATTTCCAGTAAAGCACTAGGAGTTTCTTCTCCAGTCCTAATGTTACCAAAGTGCACCACTACTAGTACATATCATTACATATGATTAAATTCACTTAGTTTGAAAATTAATCAAGTAATCAGAACTATGAAACATAAAACATACTGAAATGTGTGTACTATTTCATTTTCTTGAACACTATATAAGTTTTAATTTGGTTTTCTTAAAATAGGAACATTTACCAAAAAAGCTGATACATTCCAATTTGTTAACAATTTGCTCAAAATTCATAGATGATTTCTTTCTCTATGTTGACAAAATAAACTTTAACAATTTCTTTTAAAATGTGCTTTTATATCTTCTTTGATAGTGTCCTTAGCCTAGAAAATTCACTAATCCTCTGTGCAAAGCCAGCCTAACTACAGACCACAGGTATCAGTTCTAACCTTTTCACCAATGTACAGCCGTAACCTGTCAGATTCAACAAGTAATTGTTCACTCTAAGAAATTCTGCTACAATTGCGTAGCAAATCATGGAAGGGGGAGACAATAAACTCATCATTTAAAATGAGAACTTCCTTCACACCATAGTAAACACACCCATACATACATCCATGCAACTTAAGAAAGGATTCTTTTCTAATAAATTCAGTTTAAGTTTTTAAAACAGAATCTGTTACATCTATATAAAAGCACTGACTCAATTTGTTTTAAAATATACACAACATGCTCCTGAGTAGTTATACTCAACAATTGCAAAAGTAATGATTCCACACCAGGCATACTTGGTGCCTAGTGGGAAGCGTTTGGGGTGACCGTAGTGTAATGAGGTCAGAATCAGCACAAGGTGTACCAGTGTAATCAGAGACCTACGCAAAAAGAGACACATAAGACAGCAAGTCCCAAGTGCAGCAATAGGAGTACCATGCGGGGCTTTCCTCTCATTTACCATACATGAGGCTTAGCTAGTTTCAATAAATGAAAGTTATTTTGCTTCTGGGGAAATATCCCTTCCACTGCTTAGCCAACCCAATTGTGAAAGGAGCTGCAAAACTGTCTTTCGTCATACTTCTGTTACCTGTGATAACTTGGCAGAAATAGTTTGACGGCTCTTAAAACATTATAAAATTCTTTGTGTTTAAAAGGAATCTGTATAATCCTGAAACAGAAATGAAGTCTCTGATTTTTCTTAAATAATTATAATAATTCCTAACATAGTAGAACAGGAAGAATCAAAGGAAAGAGACAAGACAGAATCGGAGAGAACTCTGTTCTTGGAGAAACAGAAATTTCTTACGAGAGTAAGTAGCTATGTATTTTGCTCTTACCTGCCAGCAGCTCGTTTAACCAAGGATATGTCCTTTATGGAGGTAGTTTATCCTTTGAAGAACCCAGTGGCTTGTCCCACAGCCCAGGACAGACTCGAGTTCTGAAAAACTATCCAGCCCAAAAGAATACAGAGGAAAAAGCTTTTCCCACTTTCTTTCCTGGGTCTAGCCAATAGCTGAAGTCATGCAGGAAATTGAGTAGAGAGGGGGAAAGCAGCTTCTCCCTGAAATCCTGATCAGCAGAAATTGGGAGTTGTATATCTCCCACCGACTTTTATTTAAAAGTTTTTTTCAACTGTTGCTAGGTGTTGTTGGGTTCTGAGATTAGGTTTCTCCTCTTCTGCTCCCTTCACAACACTGTCAGAGCAATGACTTTGTTGAGGAGCTGAGCTCGTGAGTGCTATATTTAACCAGTGTTCTCAGCAAGTCGAGCCTGTCAACAGCTGAGAAGTTTGGAGCCGGCTTTACTCAGTTCCTAGGCAGCTGGGTTATCAGTGGATACAGCACTGCTCACCCTGTAAGATTGAGGGGGAAACCGGCAGACCCTTTTAAGGACCTCTGCTCATTTCACAGAGGTAATTATTGTTTGGAGCTCTTAACTGCAGACTGTGATTTGGGACTTAGGTTTTAAAATCTGAAAAGAAACAGAGCAGCAGTTGTCTTGGGCAGAGCAATTTACCAATGCAATATTCTTCTCAATTAGGCTCTCTCTGATAAGTGTTCTGATTTAAAAAAAAAAAAATGCTTTTAAAGTGTATCACAACTGTTGGGGAAATTCACGGTGAGAGATCATTTCCAAGCAGCTTTCAACACTAGTATGTTACAGCTAGATCACTTACCAGTTATAAAAGATTTGACTGTGTACCTGAATGTTGTTAAAATAAGGTTAACATAAAGGAATGTCTATAACATTATGATTTTGAAAGAGGTAAAGTTGAAAAGGAAAATCTTAGTATTCTCACTCAAGTCATTCATTCAAAGTAACATATGCAAACATTCCAGGAAAATCAGGACTTAGACACCTCTGGTAGTTGACAGTTAACCCACTCATCTCCAAACTAGGTAAGGAGCACTTCTACCCTGAACTTCCGTATAAAATTGTCTACAGATATTTTATGTGCTTCATTCTATATCATAAAACACTATGAATCTGCTAAAATGAAGACTCATCCAAATAAATACATTTATCTCTTGAGACTGTTTTACTAATTACATACAGAAAATTAACAGTATGGGGGACTGCGAGAGGTCTTTTCAGTCACAAGTGTGGTAGGAAGAAAGAAAGAATATTATTTTTTAACAAATTAGAATATTGCACTAACAAAAATCTCACCAACATCATTATAAATATTTACCCTCTTTCCTGAGATCAGTATTTATTTATTTATTTATTTGCTTATTTATTTGCTTATTTATTTGTTTATTTTTGCTGGACTAATGTTCAAGCTGAGGAAAAAGTACCCTCTTTCTGACATGCAAACTGAAGATGGACCACAGGGATATGTAAGGTCAGACTTAAAATTTTGAATTACATACTTGCAATTTATAGCTCATGTGTTCAGTAACCCTAATGTCTCTCTGGGAAAGCTTACCTCTCTCTCTCTCTCTCTCTCTCTCTCTCTCTCTCTCTCTCTCTCTCTCTCTCTCTCTCTCTCTCTCTCTCTCTCTCTCTGACCTTTTTAAAGAAATGATCCTCACCTTAAAAGTTAGCTGACCCCACATTTCAACCTATTAGAAAACATCTCAGTTCTTCCCATCCCAACCAGTATACTGACAGCCCACATTTCCCCCTTAATTTATTTACTAGTGTATGCATGTGAAAATTGCATTTGTTTAGTCTCAGTCTTTCTGGGTCTGAGCCAACCTTGATTTTAAAAGGAAAAGACTTCTATTAAGATAAAGATCTCATGTGAAATTAACACTAATGAATGTTTTCAAAACTTAACCTATTCACAGTCCTAAAAGTGAGTTCTAATAGGAATGGAAAGTATGTGCCTGGGCTATGGGCTAATTCAGGGCTAGGAGATAATCAACAGGAGAACTTTTTAAAAAATTACAAAGAGTGGGTAGGGATATATTTCTTTGAAAAATATACACACTCTCCACATACATACCATATGCAATAGTCCCAGGTCGAAAACCACAAAAGAGAACTCTGAGAATACATCATTTCATCCCTACTAACGCTCACTATGGTCATCTCCAATCTAAACCAGACTGTAGCCTAATGTCAAGGTAACTGAAGGGAAATAACCCACTGTGCTTGATGAGCCTAGATAATTCCATCAAAAGAGTGATAGAGTTATTTCTTCTGTAACTATTCAGATAATTAGAATTTTCAGTTTTGTTGGTATTATGAAAACTGAGTCTCGCGCCATTGTTTTCCTCAAGCTTTGGATTAGCCATCTATTATTGCTATTACTTTGTTTTGTGTTTTTTGTTTTTTGTTAACTGTGGTGACAAGCAATAGCATACAGTGTTTCATGTAATTAGACACTATTGCCATGTTCAAATTATTTTCTTTATACTAGGCACATATGGGTGACTGACTCAGTTCAGTATTCTACCATAATCAGGGTGTCAGTCTCTCTCTCCCTCTCTCTCTCTCTCTCTCTCTCTCTCTCTCTCTCTCTCTCTCTCCCCCCCCCTCCCTCCCTCCCTTCCTCCATCCTTCTCTCCCTCCCTCTCTTTCTTTCTCTAAGTGAATTTCTTTTGAAGGCTTCCCCTCCCTGGGGAATGATTATTCAGACTAAAGCATTTCCTACATAATCCACAGAGGAAGTAGTGCCATTAAGAACTAATAGAAATTTTGTACACAGTCAATGAGGAACTGATTTTTCAACACATATTGTTAATACATTGCTGTTCAGCTGCATCCTTTCCCACAGTCTTAAGTGTGAGCATTCTGAGAAACTCTGGTAAACTAAATCTGAATTTCCCAACTTCAAGAATGAGTCATGATAAATTTTTTTTTAAATAAAAAGATTAATGCTATCAGTAGGGGGAAAGGCAAATGGATTAAATGAGAGTGTTAACATATTTCTACATTCTTTTCTAAAACAAAAATTTCCCACCTTGTTCCTTTAAAAAACCAGGGTAATTTTTTAAAAGCAAATTATTAATAACCTATTTAATATACCATTAAAGAGAAAAAGCAGATATTTGCTTCAAAACCATATTTAGATTTACAATGTTTAAGGTTAAAAGGGTATCATGAAGCAAGTTTTTTAAAAAAAACATTCCCTCTTAACTTTTATTGCCTGGCTCTGAGATTTGAACATAAGCTCCTGGGTAATGGAGAATTTTTCTGTTTGTTCCTTGCTGAATACCCTAGCACCATAATAAGTATTCAATAAATAGAAACACCATTTTGAACAGAAGTGTGTGAGTATGTGTGTTTGCACACACTTTTTAAAATTTTCTTAACATGTTAATTATTCAAGTAAATTTTAAAAAAAAATAGTTGTAGATGGACACAATACCTTTATTTTATTTGATTATTTTTATGTGGTGCTGGGGACCTAACTCAGGGCTTCACACATGCGAGGCAAGCGCTCTATCACTGAGCGACAACCCCAGCCCTTATTAAAGTAAGTTAACATTAAAGATTAAAGGAAAGATAAAAGAAACTGTAGAGCATATAGAAAGTGCTTTCAGATTCTCTGGACAAAATTGGGTGATAATTTGCTCATATGAAAGTCGTAGAAAGAAATTTTTAAATGGTGAATTAACTATTTTGAATTTTGTTGAAATTGCAAATGAAGTAATAGATTTCAGGATAATAATAAAAATATCTATGCAACACTTACTATAAGCCAAACAGAGTTCTAAGGACTTGATATTTATTAGCTCATTTAATTCTCACAATAACCTTATAAGGTGGGTATTACTATCATTCCCCATCTTACAGGCAAGAAAACCTAGGCACATAGACACTAAGTAAATTAGCCAAGGTCACATGCTAGTTATTAACTACCAGAACCAGAATTTGAACTAGGGAGTCCAAACCCAAAAATCCATGTTTTTAACCACTTAATTACCTCTTATATTCAATAGTTACAGCAGCCTATTCTTAGCAATCTCTGAGTTAAAGAATATGGACTTTACAATTCCCAAATAGATACACTTCTGACCAAAAATGTACTTATTTTTCAGTGCTGGGGTTTGAACCCAGGGCCTTATACATGTGAGGAAAGTGCTTTCACCACTGAACCATACCAAAGACGCTAAAAAAAATGCATTTAAATTCCACAGCTTGAAAGGCAGATAGAAGGAAAAAAAAAAAAACAATGGGATAATTTCACAATGAACATAGAAAAATAAAAACTCATTGGAATTGAAATCCTGTTGAATACCAGAGAAAAGAAAATTGGACTGAAAAGAAGATAATTACTAAAGGGAAAAAAAGTTTATTTTTAGGCAAAGGATATGAGCTGTTTAGTATTCTCTCAAAAATAAATGCATGTTTTATGATGAAGTAGTTTACTACTTAACAAATCTAAAATTATATTCTAAAAATATACTTTTGGTCTATGATTCGATAAGCAATTTAAAAATGTTTAGGGCTGTGTATTCACAACCAAAACTTCTCAAAGATGTAACCAACAAAAGGACACCCCCCCCCAAAAAAAATGAAGGAGACATCATACCTTAGTAGTTCTTTGACATTAAAATGATATTGTATTAGACTGAGTCCTTACCTTCTAAAACATTCACTGATTTAAGTGATGTAATGCCTGGGGTTTGCTTCAAAACAATCCAGTGTGAGAGAAGAAGAAAGGTGGGTGAGGATATAGTGAGCTAACTTGGTAGTGACTCGTAGCTACTGAAGCTAGGAAATGGGTAATCATTACACTAGTCTTTCTACTTTCATATAGGTTCATATATTTGAAATAGTTCTTACTATCTGGCACATAAGTAGACACTTGAGAAATGTTAATTGTTTTAATTATTAATATTATTGTCACAATATCTGTGAACCAAAGTCTTTGGACCCAACCAAGTTCTTACAGGGAAGTCATATGGAATTTCATTGATGTCATCAGATAATTAAGCAGAGAATTTAATTCATAATATTAATGATATACACTATAAGCAAGTGAGATAAAAATTAAACAAGAAAAATAAGGAAACTAGAAAAGACCACCTGGGCAATTAATAAATCATTATAAAACATGCTCCTTTCTTACTTTCATTAACAAAACTCACCAGAATGTTGTTTTACCTGAGAATTAAAGGGCAAAGTATCAAGAAAGTACAGCAGCCACACTGCAATAGCTGCAGGTCAGCAGAGGTGGTAGCAGGAAATGTCATCACAAAGGTCACTGAGGATGAAAAATTCAGGTGAGAAATGCTCAGAAATGTTGGAATTTGGTATTCATGTTATAGCTGAGCAAGCCCTCATGTG